CTGACAAGTGCAAATGTGTTGTCCATTTGTGGGAGTGGATGACATCCAAGTGATATGATTGACTTGGTGAACATATCTGTACATTTTGCTGTTTGCAGATCTAAGAGCAGTGCAGAAGCTTGTTGCGAGTACCGGATTTTATCATAGCTGTGGTTACTTGCTGTTCCTGTTAAATATGAGGAATCTGTACTTTATTACAACAAAGGGTTGTTCCACAGTAATTTAATTCATGGATCCCTGCCAGTCTCTTATCTTTGTAGTCTGAATAATGATACTGTGTGGTGATTGTAGGGTTGTATATGGCCGTTCTCCTTTGGCATTCAGTGTTTGAAATGATGGCACTTCCTGTTCTGTCTGGGGGTACTTCAGAGGTCTTTTAAATTACTGTCCAAAAAAAAAGCATTAATTTTTTTTTACGGGTGCCAAGCTTTTCGTATGCACATGACAAAATGCCAATTTGATTTGGTCATGGAAGGGTAGATTCCCCTTATTATAAAACCGAGTAAACATATAGTGAAAAATGTTTGGTTTTTCTTTCACGAGTGGACTACAACCAAACTGTGTTTTTTTTTCCCCCATGAAAATTGATGTTTGTACAGTAGTTAAGGGCAGCTTTCTAGCAATACCTGTTAGCTGGTATTGTCACCTGTAAGCTCTTTGTCATCCATTCTTCCATGCTAAAGAGTGATGGAGTCTTCTCTGTGGCTTGGAACATTCATGTGTATTACTTTAGTACTCTGCCCTCTGTGATTTAGACCACTGTCCCAGTGAGTGAGTAACTCTTTGTTGTGGGAAGCACCACCTTTATTTAAGGTCTTAAAACAGGGTAGGCCCGCAGACCCAGTTCTAAATATTTCATTTAAGCATTAAACACGAGCTGAGGTGTCACTTTTGGTGTTTTACTCTCACAAAGCTTGTAGTCGACTTTCCGTTGACTTATACTGATACTAAATGATACTTATGTTATTTTTTATTATCTAATACCTGTGATTTATTTTTGTGTAAATGCTAGTGAGAAAGAGAGAGCGATCAGCAATTTAAACATACAGTATCTGAGCAACTACTGTATGTTGCTTTAACAAATATGGGTGTTTGAATAATACTGACAGGGCCAAGTACTCAATCTGGAGCCTAGTCTAAGTGAGTGCAGTAAATAATATGGCTACTCTGTTGAAAAGATTAACACCCCCTTGCATTGTACAATACATTTTACATACTGTGAAGCTGAAACTGTTATCAGTTCTGTGAACTCTAATAGTAATCATTTCTCATAAGGGAAAGAAAGCGCATGGCTGAAAATACAGTACTGCCGAATTAATTCAGTGTTTCAGCTGATCTCTTACAGAAAATATGTACCATGAAAGTCTTATTTTTTTTTGTTAATCCCTCTGATAAAAGATAAACCAATAAATCCCTTTATCGCAATAATCTTCAGATCCAAAACATCAGATGGCATTTTATCATATGCTGTTCATGAGTCATGAAAGCTGGGATGAAATGGGAGGTACTGAATGGAGCTGTAGAAGGAGACCTGTGGGTGCTGGCCTTATTCCTGGTTGATTGCACACGGTTTCTGTTTGCTGGGAATATGCAGTTGAGCAGTGAGCCACCCTTTTCACGATCCAGTCCTTTGGGGCTCGTGGTTACCTTTGTTTTCAGAGGGGTTTCTTTCTTTTCTCATGATGTGGCAAACAGTTGCCCCTTCAATGTTTTTCTCTTTCTTGTACATTTCTAGGAACAAATGACGTACAATTCAGCTACTTGTTTAAGAGTGGGAGAAAGGTATTCAAGTCCTGTATGATCTTTAGGATTGCATCAGTTGATACACCTTTTCCCCCCCGAAAGATCAAATCAGGTATGTCCATCGAGAGGGTGGTGACACACAATTATAATTGCATACAGTAATAATGTACAGTCTATTCTACTTTTATGTGACTTCATTCCCAATTCTCAGCTTGATGGACCCCCCATGCCCCTTGTAGAACATTATGCTTATCTCAGTGCAGGCAGATTTGACCTGGAAGCTGAAAAATGTGCCGTATGGACTCCGTACCATTTAAAAAGAGACCCTTCTTTCTATAGACTGTGATTCCAGATATGGTTCAAAATACTTACATGGTTGTCTTGCCAGCAAGGTTAATAATCCTAACTTTTGCAATGTTTGCTGTATATGCCTGCATCTTATTTTTTTTCCCCCAAGCATGCATATTTTTTATTAGTTTTCCATAAACGCTGGTGGAGGAGTGCCTATCATTCCTGCTTTTTGAATTTCTCTTGTGTGCTCCCATCTACTTACAGACCTGGTTTAACCTTGTTTAGGCTGGCTGCATCTGATTTTAATTACATAAATCATATCCTTCACCCACTAGATCCTCTTTTCAACTGGCAGACTTGTTAATCAGCTTTGCAAAGCTGGTTCACACCATAGAGCTGAGCTCACCCGAGATACTCCCACCAGTTCTTCGTATACTCCTGGTCTTTTATACGTTTTATTGAATATCTAAAATCGTAACTATCTTTAATATGTTAGAGCTGGGTAACCCATGGATTGGGGTAGACTTTCTCAAGGAAACATATTTTGTTTTACTTTATTCACATCTTATTCAAACAGAAATAGCATCTTGCTCTTGGGGTTCATAACTCAACTTTGGGGGGGCTCCTTGTCTGCTTTCACTGTTTCAGAATTGTGCCATTAATTAATCTGCTTGCTTGCTTAGATTTCTCTTGACATATTTCTGCATTCAGGGCCTGTTTTAAAACCTATTTTCAAGCATATTATTCTATCAACTTCAGCCTGCAGATCTTCTGTGCAGTCTCTCTTCAACTGGTTAATGAGGAGTTCACTTATTTCTGACTGAACAGTTCTTATTAGGTCATCAAGTTTTGATGTGCAAACACAGATGGGAATGACAATGCATCAAACACTCAGGCAGTATGCATTTGTTATTCCTCTGCGGAGTTCCAGTTGATTACAGCTGATGTACAGTAGCTGCATCAGGGAAGCTCTGAGACTGGGACAAGGTTCACAAGAGGTTGAATGTGATTTCGTAATTAAAGATCTGAAAGCGAATTTGAAAGATATGCTGCAAATGGAGGATTGAAATCCTATACACTGATAAAGATTAAGCCGGATCAGGAACCAGAAGAGACGGGGGGGGCACCAAGGACCAGAGCAGGGAACTGCTGAGCTGTCAGTCTGTCTGATGAGAAAAGGGTTTGAGAGTTTGACCTTCGGGAGGACTCGGTTTGTATTTAGTCCCATGTCCCACTGTACATGAATATGCCTCTTGCATTATGCCAAGTCTGTTTGTCGGCCATGTTGAAGACATTTTGTAAACAGTTTAACGTGCTTGAATGTCAGGATAACATAGGAGAACCTCTCAATACTTTGCACTGTAAGATTCTGAATTTCAGCGCAGCAATCATGACAGAGTCGCAGCTTTTATAGCATCTTCCATGAACATGCAAAGAACAATTTGTGACTGCCATATCCCGTACAATATTTAAGCCATCATGTTATTGCAAACACAATGTGCTGGAACGCATGTCCGAAATAGTGCTAAATGGTGCATTTTAACAAGCAATAGTCAAATCTGTTGTCGGGATGTCTTATTGAACTACATCTGCACTAACAGTAATAATTCAGGTTGAATGTCTTTCCAATCTTTTCGGTTACTGTAACCGGAGGGGGGTGTCAGGAGAGGAATGGGCAAAGAGAAAAGCCTTTTGACCAAGTGCAAGGTCTTCAGATGTTTGTTTAAATGTTTATGTCAAAGGTTGCAGAGGCTGTCAGTGAAAAGGGGATTTTTTTTAAAATGCATTGTTCCGTCTGACTAAAATTCTAATTTAATTTCTTGAAGAGCTTCCTATGCTTTTTTTCCACTTGATGTGTGTTTTATCTCTTAATTGCCACACCACAGCCACCCAGGGATTGAGGATTAAGAACAGCATAGAGGAGATTGTACCTTGGCCAGAACAAAAAAAAAACAACCCAGTAATATTATTATTCTATTCTCTGCACTTTCAGAATGTCTCATGAGATTTAAAATTCAAGATGTTAAGCAATTAGCACTGGTGAGAATTCAGTCGGACATCGTAGAAAATTGACACGTTGGCTTTGAATGTATGATTAATTTACATAAATGGCAATTATGCTGTGGTTATGAAATATCCACCCTGAGACTGACTGTGCAGGGGGTAACATACTGTAGTTCACTGCCTTGAAGTGTATGGAAATCAGGGAAGCAATTTTCTTTGTTTCATACCCTAAATACTTGTCTCTCTTATGCATGGAAGAGTATTCTTGTGCAGCACTTTATCGTGGTGGGTTAAGGCTGATGAGACAGTTGAATGTGATGTCAACACAAGTTATGAAAGTGTTAATAGGAAATGGGAGCAGTTGCACAAATGAAGATAGGTTGGTTTTTCTTCCTAGATTACTTTGTTTTTCATTAGAGGAGTGCTACAAAAGCAAGCACATCATGATAATTATCCATTAGGAAAAGGAGTAATTTAGTCACTTATTATAATTATGGGGTGTGGATATTTCAAATAGTTATGGGAAAAATGCCTTTACTAATGAATTTCTCATACTTTTACCACTACCCCTGGTTTTCCTCCTGTACCTTCTGTAGTGACATGTTACAGTGAGAAGTATGTAGGGTGTGGTCCCACATCCGTAATTAATAGAAAACAAAGCTGATTGCTTTTATATTCAGTAAGGTGTCAGCAAAAGACTCAAGTGTTCTCAACTGTTTAACTGTAGATCTCACTTTTGCATGAGCAGCTTGTACTAAAACCCAAATCTAAAATTGTTTGCTCTTATTTTTAGCTAGCCTTTCATTTTAATTAATTGTATGCCCTTTTCTCAACAATTATATAAAAATATACAGAACTTTTACTATGTTCAAGGCATGATATAATGCATTTAAATTTATTTTGAGAAGTATTTTAGAGGTCTCATCTCTGAGTTTTTTTTTATTTTTTTTATTTTTTTATTTCTCACTTGGTCATTAAATGTAGTTTGGAAAGTTCAGCTACATTCAGATTTCACCTCCTCTACACATCTTTCACGGCGATGACTGTGGTTTCTTGTTGGCTATCCTTGACCTTATTTGCCTGCTTACCTATCAGATTGGAATTAATTTTCATGTATGTTTAAATTAAGTAGACTTATTAAATTAAGAATTATAGCGTTTTATCCCTGGGATATATGTTTGAGGAAAATACTGTGCAAGTTTTATGAGGTTTGTGTATCCTGAAGGTTTATCAGTAGATTAGGAAGCACTTGGCATCTGAATCTGGCATTAATTCCCAAAGCTTCGAGCAATATATGTTGATCCAAAAGGTACCCAATTGGATTTTGCCATGACTGAGTCACTGTGAAGGCCTGGAGCTCCCTATGGCTACCATCTGTGCCACTGAGACTCCCTTCATGCTTAGTGTAACCAGTTCTGTGTAACATCTTTCACAAAAGAGCTTACTGTACAGTAGGTCTTTATTATGTTATAATAACACAGTGAATCTTTATTCCAATCAGTGTCTTTCAGTCAGGAGGCAGAAGCTAAGTTCAAATTAAAAATGTGGATAGGCAGCATATTGCAGTTTGTAAAACTGAAAACCAAGATCTTTAAATATCATGTTTGTATGTTTAACTTGACCGTATATAATCCCACTTGTGAATTGCCAGTGTTTGCCACATGCCACAATGCAAAGAATGAAGTGTTGCACAGTGCTGGGAGAATGAGGAGGGGCAGACATGCTCTTCTGGTTTGTCTTTTGCAGTCTCCCCAGTGCCTCACGGTAGAGCCAGTTGGCAGTTCTCAGTTCTCCTGGCCTGCAGGTGCCTGTGTAGTTGCAGAAGTTGCTCTCTAGAGCTTGATGAGCCGTGATGAACTCATCCCATCCTGGCCCCAACAGCACTGTGGCCAGTTTTGCACTTGACAACTGTCGAATTGAATTTCAATTTCTGTATGATCATCTCTATGACCATAAAACATGGTTCCAGCTGTTATTCAGTTTCGGGTTGCCTTTTTTTCCTCCAGAAGAGGATTATTCCTTGGAACACGGACGTAAGTGCCCCATTAATGCAGGCATCGTCAAATCGTGACATCTTCTATCCTGAAGATTCAAGTTCTCCATTGATATATTAAGTTATAGATTTCTTTATATCATTATATATATAGCTGTGAACCACATGCATCACTCCCCTTAGCGGTGAGATATAGCAGGATGTTTTTCCTGGCAGAATTGCCACTGTACCAGTAGCTCTACATTTCTTAACAGCAGACACATCGGTTGTTTTATAGTGTTCCCCCAGACTTGTGAGAGTCATTGACTTTCGACCTGCAGTCTTTGGAAAGGTCCCTGACCTTCATAATGATGATGAGTCTTCAATTGTTCTCTTGAATGTCTTCCATGTTAGCTCCTTTTACACCCCAGGTAAACGGGAACCTATGGAGGCATTTGGGTTGTTACCGAGGCTTCTACTGTACTTCTGAAGAGCGAAATGTTCATTTTATTTAATAATACATAAGTATGGGAATAACTGCTTTCTGGTTTCAGCGATGAGAAATAGGGTGTGCAATGTAACTGCAGTATCACATTTTGGATTGTTTTATGCAACACATCATGCAGTCTAACTTTTTGATCCCATTTTAATTGGGACTGTGAACACCTATGGAGAGCACTGCACATTATAGTAAAATTCAAAAGGTAAGACTGTTTAATTTGCATTCTAAGTAGTGACTCGTTTTTGAGTTGAACTAAAATAGCTTTTCAGTATCAACCCTGATTAGAGAAGTAATTTGTGTTTTTAGTGTTTGACAAATGCCTCTGGAAAGTTTTTTTTTCTGTCTACAGTAAATTGGATCATCAATTGGATGTGGCCAAGGAAGTGAATCTTTGGTTCATTGTAATTATATATATATATAATTTTTTTTTGTTTGCTTGCAGCTGTTGAAGAATCGGAAAGCGACATTTACATGAGGTTTATGAAGTCCCACAAGTGCTATGATATTGTTCCAACCAGCTCCAAGCTTGTTGTCTTTGACACTACGTTGCAGGTGAGTGTTATTGAAATCTGGGTTGTATATATACAGCAACACATGAACGTCTTAGGGGGGATAGATTTGTGTTCAGCTGGTAATTGGAAGAAAAAGGATTCATAAATGCCTGGAAACCCATAATAAATAATTTACCGTTATGCGTCCATGCTTTTATTCTCCGGAATCTGGTGCGTCACTGATAAAGGGAGTTACACATACTCCTTTAGTCTAAATCTTTTTCCTGGAAGGAGGCATTCACACAGGAATGTTGAATTCAAAATCGCTATATGAAGTCACATTGGTGGCTAGATATTTTACTCATCTGGGAAGGGCAGGTGTCTTGTCTGAGGTAGGCCTCGCCTTGTAGCCACTGCTTGCTGCTGTGAGCTGTGGCTCCCCCACTGCCTTGGATTGGAGGAGGTGGTTAGAAAATGGAGGGATAGCAAAAGAAAGGAGGCCATTTGACCCATCTAGTCCATTTGGTTGCTAGTGAGTGATTTACCTGAGGATATGATCCAGTCATTTCTTGAAGGAAGAAAGGGTGTCTTCAGAAACGTAGCTTGATCCACGATCCCTTGCGGTAAAGTGTTTTTCCGTTTTAAATGCACTTTCCTCTAGTTTAGTTCCCAGAGCCCTCTTGGGGAAAAACCTGAACAGATCTCTGCAGTGGCAGAAGAGCAGTGCTCAACTGGCCTGCATCTGACAGAAGGACTGGAGCATGCTGAAACTGTATTCTCCCCTCTTTGTACTAATGATTTTAGTAAGTTAGTCACTGCAGACTAACATAGACTTAGCTCATTTTTTACCACTGCATTTATGTTCTTAATTAATGACTATCAACCTTTGAAAAACAGACTGAAGAGATAAGCTTAAATGGCACATAGGGATTTTAGACACCGGAAGTTTAACAGGCTACATAGATTCAGGCTACAACTAATTTCAGTTTTCCTTCCCTCTTTAAAATATTTATGTGGCATTCTTTTACTCAAGTCTTTTTTTTGTTTTTAAGGGACAGTTAGTGTTTATTAACCGGTATACTGTAACATTTATTTTACTATGCAGTTCTGTGACCTTAGAACTAGCTTAAACGCATAGCGCATGTGAAATGTGCAGCATGAAGTTTTTACTTCACACTTAGTGGAGAAAGCTGGGGGGGGAACAAGCAATGAAAATGACCTATTTGTGCCATCTCGATAAAGACCGTATTTAATTCAGTGAATGCTTGCTTAAAGTTGCAGCCATCAAGACATTAGCTGAGCATAACTGAATCCCATTAACTTTATGTTCAATCATTTTAGTTGTTTACTCAAAAGAAATACTATTAAGGACAGGGTGGCAAAGTGGCTTGTACTGCTGCTGTCTCCCAGCTGCAGGGTATCTGAGGCTGATCCAGTCTCAACTACAGTATCTGTCCCCGAATCCTTCCAAGGTTGTGCTGCTTACTAACAAGGGTTGGATGGCTGAATGTCTCAGGGCCCCATCTTCAAACGTACAATGAAGACATTTCTGCAGAAAATAACTTAACAGTTGGGTTTTTATTTCAGTTTTTCAGCGTCGACATACAATCGTGGTCTGTGATGCGGAGGCGAACTGTGCGATGGTGCTGAAAAGATGTGTTCACGCTGGTCGCTGGCGAGCCGATTGCAAGTTCCTTTTGAGTTTTCTGCCGTGGAGAAAATGTTGCGAGTACCTGACATCCACACACAGTTTACTGCATTAGTGTGAGACACGTCTCATGTTGCTTGCACTCACCCCAAGTCAAACAACGTATTAAAAGGAGATGCAAAAGCGATAACAGGAAAAAGAGGAAGCTATGGGAACAGAAGTAGTAGTTTACTCTGCCACAACAAGCTTGTTAAAGCTTTTACAAATATTAACAACTGACAGGCTGCTGTAGGGACTTGTCCCTTTCTTAATCAGCATCCAGTTCCGCTCCCTATATGCCTGGCTTAGGTGAGGAGCACCACCACCATGGGTCACCTTCTCCTGTCATTGGAGAATATGTTGAATAGACCTTCCTAACTGTTTCAACGGCGAATGTGGAAAAATTTCTCAGACCCAATATGTCCACACGGGTACTCACAGTACTTGGAATGCGATTGTCCTATCTTCAAGGCACAGTCTTCTGAATGATTTTGAAAGAAATCTTGACACGGTCGTCCTTAGCTGCCGAGGAAATTATGGCAGCAGTGTTTAGAAGGAGAGAAAGGGACCTCCGCAAAGCCACGGTGCCCTCTTGTGGTCTGGAGGGGAAGTGGGCTCCCTGTCCATTTCAATACAGTGGCTTCTACCCATCCATCCTTAATTCACAATATTTGCTTAAACCAATATTTTGAGGGAAACTTTGGTTAATTGGTACAGTATGTCATTGTTGGTTGCACATGTGTACAGAGGAGTAAATGTGCTCCTTAAGTGTCCCTTTTAAAGTCCACCATGGATTGTAACAAGGGGAGGAGCGAGACGGAAATAAATTGCAGACTCCCAGGCCAAGAACTGCAGAGAATGAGGGGAAGCAGCCCATTTTCAAGGGGAGAAATAATATCTTTATTGAGTCTTTGGCTGGTGTCTGTAGTATCTGTTACATTGGATCCAAGTTTACCTCTTGGCAGGGAGACTCGTGGCATGAGGGACAGGAAAACCCATTCATTCATGCAGAGATGCTTTGTCAATGGCGAGGCACTGCTTTGTGACGTGTTTTGCACGTAAGAGGTTCATCTGAGGATCGGTCTATCCAAATTGGTTCAAGTTCATATTGTAACATTAATTCCCATCAGCCATAAATGCTCATTCACAGTCATTTTCAGATGATGTAACATGACATCAAGCCAAAGTCATGTTTAGTACAGTAGGGTCTTGACATTTGGAAGGGGTTACCTTCACATAATGTACTGAAGTACAGTTTATACTGTAGTAAGTATGGCTAAAATATACAAGTAACCCACTCTTAAGATTATAGTACTTATGCTTTGACTTTAATTCAAATAACATTGATCAACCAAAAGAAACGAGTAATCACAAACTTATAGTAATCAGCTCACTGAGAGCTGCTGACACAGAACCTGGAGTGTTCGTCACAATATAAAAACAAGATCACATTGAGATGCGAGTGCTGGGTAGTCCATACTTGGGCAGGGGGCAGGGAGAGACTCGCTCACCAGCTAGATTCGTCTCTCGAATCCTAGTCTGTTGAGCGGCCAATTTGAAAGTTGTGCTTAATAATCTTTGGCTCAGCTTCATCCCAGTCTCCTCCTCCTCTTCCACCCGAGACCCTGTCGACCCGAACAAATCACAAAGAAGTGAATTTGTGAAGTTTTTCATTCAAAGTTTGGACAAACTGTTCAGGAGTATGTTTCTGTGCTCAGATTTTCTCAGTTCACCTTTTAACACTAATGGTAAAAACCATTTAAAATCAACAACTCAGGAACAGGAAATGCTGAAATAAGTGTCTGATTTGGTCACATGTATACGTGTCTGCGGATAGATTTACTAGTTTGATCCAAACTGTTATCTGCTATCCTCTCTTCCTTTAAGCCTTCTAGATCCATTTCCGCTATTCAGCAATTACTTGGTGTGACTCGAGCACCAGCAAAAATTGTCATTAAAGTTGCAACCTAATTATAAAACGCAGTGTGCCACAGACGTTTTGCCTTTATTTAATGTATGTTTTTTTTTTGTATTGAAGCAAATAATTATCCAGTGTTCTGATCGCTTTGCATTCAGGGGGGAATTGATTGTGGTGTGTTGACAAGCCAGCAGATGAAAATATCACAGACCATTACAAGGCACAAAACTGTGTAATGCATTTTTAACTGTGTCAGCCGTCAGGTATAAAGACTTCTTTCACACTTTGAAAAGTATTATTAGGTAATGTCTAAAATGTTAAAAGACTGCACAACTGCTGGAAAGATGTATTTAACTTGCTGTACTGCTGGTTTCTAACTGCCAACAACTGCTTGAATTCACATCTATGCAAAAAAGTGGATTTGACTTAAGAGAATGCTTTTATATGTACGAAAAGGGCCTCAGCGTTTTCCCAGTTACCCAGTTAATGTTCAGTGATAAGCGATGCAGTAATTCTGTCTTGAATGTACCGATTATTCTGTTGTGTAAACATGAAGTAGGCTTTTCAAACGTTTGCGCAAATCATTTTTCCAGTCAGTATTCTTATTGAATTGGATTGTTTTTGTCTTTCTCCACGGCCCTTAGTCAAACGACGTTTGACATTCAAGACACCTTTTTTTTTTGAGCTGCAAGGCCCGTGTTGTGTAGCTCTTGCTGAATATTTTATAGGTTTGGGTTGAACGCCATTCCTCCTGCTCTTTATCTTTATCTCCCGCCTTCGCTTTCTGGTTGCTTCTCTGTGTTTGAAGGAGCAGGCGGATTGTGTAACTGATCTCTCATTCCTCCCAGTGCTTCATGGCAGCTCAGTGGTGGCCAAGCAAGTGCTTCTTTAAAACTCGCTATTGATCTGTTTCTGGAACAAAAGCCAGTTATCAGCTCGTTCAGTGCCATCGAGGAGAATTAAACTTTTATAGCGTCTTAAAATGAAGCTTTTAAATCTTCAAAAAATACAGTACTGCAAATGAAATAGTGTGTTCTCTGGTACATATAGTCGGTTCTCAGTGCTGGGCTTTTTTTAAAGGCCCATAAACTTGCTTCCTTTTACTGATTCAGCAAAAACAGCAGTCTTTGAGCAATGGGAAAGACAATCCTTCAAGACAAATGGACTGTGGACTTTTAGATGAGATCATTCGGGTTCATTCACCACATCGTGACTCAGTCCTCGTCCGGGATGCAGTAACTCAAAGTTTGCTGTTAGCTTCCAAAAAGAGAAAATGGGGCTTAGATGTTTCCGTGGGAGGACAGTTATTTGCATTTCAGTCTCATCTGCAGAGAAGTCATCGCGGTTGATTTTAGGATTCTCGGAATATGAACACAGTTTGTCTATGAAATTTTATCTTCATTATATAATCATAATGTCAGGATTCCAGACTAGAAATATTACCTGGGAGCCACTGGATCCTGCAATGAAACATTTAGGAGCAGATGACTTTTTAGTCGCCAAATTACAGCATCAAAATAGTTCGTCTGCAATGCACCCAATAAACTCAGTACATGCGGTGTCGTTATCATACGTCTTTCCGTTCTTTTTCATTAGCAAGATTTGGGAGGCATATTTTGTGAACGGCAATTCCTCGTTTGCAATCATGTTGGCCGGATTAAATTTCATTTTCAGTTCTTTAAAGCCTTTCTCGGCTGTTTTTTCACGGGTTTGAGAGACAGCCCGGGCTGAAGGTGTCTGCCTTGCGACACACTAAGCAATTACACAATCAACGAGCTTCAGTCAGTACGCTTCCGATTCTCTCTCCATGTTTTTTTTTTATGATTCGTCCGTTTGGAAAAACTCGGTTTTCCCTGCAACTTCCCGACCGGCTTTAGAACAAAAGTCGCAATACTGTACATCATTTGTCTGACTTTATCATGTCTAAGCCGGGCAAATTCCTGAAGCCACGAAGTTCTGAAATGCCGTTCAGACCTGTTGACGGATTTATCAAACTGTTTAAAAGAAGTCTGTAATGTTACGCTTTGCCATTGTTAGCGGATCAGCAGCGTGTGGAAAGTAGCCTGTGTTCCACTGCGTAACTTCTTAAGCTTGCTGCCTTTTGATCAACAGTCACTGCAGTGTGCTGTGATGAAGGGACGTGCACTCCAAAGATGTAATTAAGTAATGCCACATCACCAGATCAAATTTGACCACATATCGACACAAAATAAAGTTTTGGGGTCTGTCGCTAATGGAGACTTAGGTTTTAAGTTATTGTCGCAAATTCTTTTTTTTGTCGCAAATTTTAGTCTTATTTGCGACCATTTCAGTCGCAGTCTGAAGCTCTGTAACGTGCTTCAGAAACAGACCTGGCAGTGTTGACAGTTGGCTCTTTTCCTGTCTTGCCCTGCTAGCCGTGCACTAACCCTTAATACAAACAGCCTCACCGGTTGCAGAAAAAGCTGTATGATACACACAGACAGCTCTTTACAGTGCAATGGTAGGCATAAATACAACCCAGTCTCCTACACAACCATACACGTGCAACAGTGATAATACGTATGTTAAAATAAGCCGTATTGGCTTTTACCTGTTTCTGCTTCATAATTTAATGGCAACAGTAATTAACGTGGATCGTTCCAGATTGGTAATGTAAGGTGACTATTCAGTTGCACTGAACTTTAACACAAAAAGCCCTATCTGAAGTGCAAAACTTTTGAACGACAGGACCATAAAATGTGTTTTTGCCGAGTAAGGAAGCAAAGAGATGGATCACAGTGGACTCAACAGCAAAGTGATTGTCTAATGAGGCCTCTTTTGTTGGCCAATGGAGGTTGCATATTGTTTTTATTAAAATTAAATATAATTTCATTTGATTAAGCTGAAGGGACCAAACAGGCTGCTTAGCCCCACCTTGTAGGAGGTATTTTATCATTTGCAGCAGTGCCAATATAAAAAATCAGTACAACTAGTGTTGTGGGCTTTTTCTCACTGTGTGCATAGTCTATAAAGTAAAAAAATGCCTGCAGTGCTTTACCCTCTTGATTTGTGTCCACAAAAGTTTACTATGGAAACCTGGGGTTGGAAAGTTAAACCAAACTGTCAAGAATTGTTCAAATGGCAGGAAAAATAATTGGGGAAACAAGAAGAACCCCAGCTTAGCGATTTGTATAGCAGTATAGTTCATAGAATTGCAAGGGAGATCATAGCCAGTTCCACCCATCCTCTCTATTCTCAATTCGTAATGCTCCCATCAGGGACATGGTACAGGGTCCCAGATTCAAATAAAAACATCTGTAAGAAGTCCTTTGTCCCCTGTGCAATAAAGCTGTTCAATGAATGTATGTAAATGTAGTCCTCCTGCTATTTATTTATGTATAATGTACATGAAATCACAACAGCAGTCCTTTGTGCTTTTATGCGTCTCGTCATGTTTTGCTTGTGTGTTTTGTACTTTTATGGGAGAAGCCCAAGACAGATTTTCACGGTCATGGACTATAAGATATCAATCAAAAAAGGCTCTTGCTGCAGAGTCTCCTCTGTCTCCGATCGTTGCCAGTTCTGATCCCTGGTGGCCAGCTGCAGCTGTCTGTCGAGTGGCAGGGCCTTTGCCAGGAAGGTAGCTGGGTAATGTGAGACTGTAGATGAGGTGGCAGGGACTGCGTCCCAGCAGATAGTTGGCAATTGGGAGAGAAGGAGCAAAAGCATCAGGTGAAAATTTATGCAACTATGGACGGTTTGAATGGTGTTAGATCAAGACTAGGCCCACAGCCCCTTTAGAGCAGTGTCTATTTAGGAGTGCAGCTGTTTGTTGTAGTAACAGAAGTCAAACGAGGATGAAGAGGGAAAACTAGGTAAGAAGTGAAAGAGGATAGATACAGCTGAATTTTCGGCTGCATTTTAAACGCTCCTAGATTCGTTCGTTGGTTTCAATTAAGAAGTATATAGACTCTTAAAAGATGTCACACATAAGAATGTGACAAGGTCATTTCAGATCAACGTATAGAAGTCAGAAAAATCACCGTGTTGAGTTTTCTGAAACTTACAAGTGGTTAGAAATTGTCCAGAATTATGAACCGTTTGCAATTCATAGAGCTGCAATAGTGAGTTGGCATTTTGTTTCCTCAGGTTAAGAAGGCTTTCTTCGCCTTGGTTGCAAATGGCGTCCGCGCAGCCCCATTGTGGGAAACAAAAAAACAGAGCTTTGTGGGTAAGTAGAGCTGTGCTTCTTCAAGTGCTGGCATTGCTGACCTTTTACTTCAGTATTCCCATTTAAGAAAAAAACATCAAATACACATTTTAAAAGTAAGCAAAAAATCCATACACATTGATTTATGGATCCACTTGCTTTTAAAAGTAATAACTCTGATGGATTGATCTGTTCAGGGTGTAGTTCCTCCTTGTGCCCTTAGGATATGGGTCAAGGCAAGCCAGAAACTCTTAGAAATCAACTCTGTTGTACTGTATATGCTTATTTTTCACAGTTAAGGAGAGAGATCTAAAAAAGATTCTGCTTTTAAACATCTCGAACCTTGACATCTTTTCGATCATGTGCACCTGCTTCAAAAGTCTTCCTGATAACTAAATTTAATGTGAATTTGTTGTAGTTCTACCTGCTAAACAAATTGTTCAGTATGCTGCCTTCAGAGCGTTTCTGCTGTATGTAAAAGCTGTTAATTCTATTCAGCAGCACATGAAAATGTGAAGAAAAGCCAGTGATTTCATCAGTCCAAACAGTATCATGTTCCTTCTTTCCATATTCTAGGGTATGTAATATGAGCTCATTAACGTAGTGTGACGTAAATATTTTATACCTCATAAACATCCTGAGAAGCAGTAACCAATGGCTGATGAGCAAAACGAACCTTCAGGCTGCTAATTTGGTCTGTCAGCCCACTTTGTAGTCCAGGCTTGGCAGCCAATTTTGAGTTTTTAGCCCTTACATATACACGAGGTATTAAGTTAAGGAAAGATTTTAGTGAAAAATGCTGGATTTGTTTACATCTTCTATGATAAACCCAAAGTGAAGACTTTAAAGAGGTTGGCATATGAAAATAAGCTGAAATCAGAATGCCCCTTATAGACAGGGATAAAATATGATGCCGGCATGCAGTAATAGGATTGTCCATAGCCAAGACTGGTCTGAAATGACAAAAAAAGGAAATAACAGTAAAAGAAGGTCAAAGTCATTTCATACATTCGCAAACACACCGCAGTGAGCGAATTCTCATGGGCTGCCGTGACCAAATGGAAAGGTTTCTGAAAATAGCACATTGAGCTGAATCTTTAGCTGTCAAGATACATTAGAAAAGTTTGCTTTGATGGGAAATTCGGTCAGCGCCAGTCTTCATGCATCCTACATAACTAGTTCGACTGCCGCTGCACATCCAGGCTGTGAAGCCCAGAATAGCAGTAATGTAATTAATATACAGTGTGAAAAGAAAAGCACATGGTGTCATCTGCGTAATTCAGGTGGTAGTGTTGATTACAGAAGTGGAGAACAACTTTGTTTTAAATTAATTAATTTCTTTATGCAGTCACTGCATGACACCTAGTTCTTCTCTGGCTGTTTCACATGCCCATGCCCACTGACATTTAGTAAGGAACACAGCCTGAAAACAAACACGCATGCAAGAGATCGTAACTGCTTTTTGTCTTTTCAAACCACTTTTCTTCCTGAAGGTTTGTTATTCAGAACTGAATAAAATGTTATATTTAAATGTAGTGTACAGTACCTCTGCACAATGCTACCACATCGTCAAAGCCATACAGTTAGCCATTAACAGTATTCACTGTATGGTGCTTTCAGACACTTCCACAAAGGCATATTTTATATAGTGCAGGAGCAGTTTGAGCATCACATGTTTATAGTAGGCTACAACTGTGGTTAAGAAAAACGTTTAAATGCTGGTTGACATTTTCTCGAGAGACTTGTGACAAGATTTTATTTGGTAGGGAGAAACCAGAAAATAACTTTTTTTTTATTGGCTTTGTGCCTATAATCTACAAAAATAAAACCGCCAAGCACTGTGTGCAAAGATGAGGTCTTTTGGAGAGAACTTCTCCTGTGAAGGCAGCAGTCTCCTCAGTCTATAACACCCTTTCTCATTTTCACTTTCCGGGTTTCAGCCGAATGCATCGAACAGAGAAGAACATAGTTCTGCTTCATCACAAGCTTTCTGTAGCTTTTGTGTAAAATTGCTGCTTATGTGTGTTTGTAGAAGAATGCACATTTCCATGTCTTTCTCAGTGCTACTGCAGGTCTCTGGGAAGTAAACCCATGAGACCACAGAGAAGAATCGTGGCATAGCCCAGTGAAGGTTTGAGATTAGTTTAATTGTAACAAAAAAGGCTCCTTCTGGAGAACACTGACAGAAAACACACACAGGGTCTATTCTCCCAAAACCCCAAATTACAACAGTGTTACAGAGGGTTTCATATTCAGAGTCCAACCCTGTTTAACCTACAGTATGTATTGCCATGAATGGCTGTTCATGAGTGACCATTTCCCTTATGGATAAGTGGCTATTCCTGAGATGTCAAATTTAACAGCGGTTGTCTGTTTAAAATTCCCTCAGTCCAGGTCAGGAGTCCAGGTCTGATTTCTACACTGTGTACAGTGATGTTTTGAAAACCAAAAAGTATAAGTAAATAGCTGTGAAGATTTAGGTGGTGCAAAAAAAACTTTAGTTGAAAATGGGAAGATTGTTTTAACAGGTTTGTTTTTTTTCTAGTTAATAAGAAAGAATATTGACCCCCTGTAGATACTGTACACATACCTATCAGCTGATTGTGAGCTGTGCCTCCTGTCATTTGTTTGGTAGTGGACGAACGTAATTTGTAATTTTTATTTTTGCATTTTGTTTTGCATATTTGTCTAGTTCTTTCAGTATGTCTCAAACTTAAGGGGTCTGTTAGTAAATCTTAGTAGACTTCCGTGTGAAGGGGTGCGTTGGTGGAGGTCATCCCTGGTCAATTATTAATCGCGGTGCCCGTCAGCATTTTAATGAACATCTGTCAATAAGCAGCCAGCAATTTCACTTGACTTGCTGAAAATAGAAAGCAAAACGATAACAAGCTGTTAGTGAGAAATGTATAAACAGTTTTTTTTTTTTACTCCTGTAGGTTACAGTTTAAACTCTTAAGATGCTGGGTTAAGGTGATCGTGGTATTGGACTATCACTATAAAGATTCTGGATGTGCCCTGGGATTTACATTGAACAGAAAGAGGATTTCTGATGGGTACTGGGTAGTATCTGGTTTTAGGTATATCTTTCAAAATAAGGCTAGGTCCAGCACATTCTATTTTGCCTACAGAAAGGCAAGTTAAAACTGCTGAGCAGTGCATTGGTATGCTTGGATGCATTGGTATTCTTTTTTTATCACATTTTGCAATAACCTTCTCATCAAGCATGTCTGTGATTCCTAGTACGCATTTGTCCACTTTACCTGGATACCATAAAGATGTCTAGTATTTACTCTCTAAACATATGTTAATTCATTTTCTTCCCCCTGTCTGTTTCCTGGGAATCTCGTTCCCAGAGCTGAGCTGGCTTTCCATTGCTGTTGGGTATCTAGGGCAGCGTCATGGTGACAGATATAAACACTCCTCCTGTGTGAACTGGAATCCAGAATGGATGGACTGTTGAAAAAGGCATCATAAAAATAAACATCTAATTGAAAACGTGGTTCAAATAGTCATGTCTTGTACTCCAATTGTAGGGGAAGCTGGGTGGTTATTTTGTGTTAAAACCAGGTGCCCTATTTTTGAAGCAAATTAATCCAGAACTGCAGCTAAACTTGGAAGATGTGTTGGCATCTTTTGCACAAGCCAGTAGTACATTTGCAAAGTCTTTCATCAATGTACTTTTCAGGAACTTATCACTTGTGAGCAAAACCACGCATCATCATCAGTTTCTTAAAATTCGTATCTATATAGCTTTATGCGTGGTCAGCAAAGCAAGTCTTTTACTTTCTCGTGATACCTGGGCTTTTAACAAAATCAAACTCAACAAGTGGGAGGCAGCATTAATGTCCAGTGATGAAGTACATTGTTTTTGTTGCTGTGAAGGGGTGTGTTTCTTTTGGAATTGACCAGGTTAGTCACTCGGAGCAATTACGATTTTGTGGTTGACCGCAAGTGCAAAAAAAAGCTATATTTACTTCAATGATTATACTTTCAAAATATTTCAAAAGTTAGTCACAAGGATGACATTTTCCATAACTGGTAGCATTCTATTTAAAGTAAATAGATGGGCAAAATTTAAGATTTCAGGTTTTATTGATATACTCCCTTTTATGCAGTTTTGTATGACACGTTGTTAGCTTTGGGTAAAACAATTGTTTTACAGACTGTAAATATTAGAAAAGGTATTGTTGTTTACTTTTGCCTCTATACAGTGTGTTTCAGCTGTAGAATTGGAGTGCAGGAGTTGTATTGTAGGAGATGTATGCTAGAGCTTTGTTGTGCCTTGATGAACACCAAATTCTCGGTTTTAATTTGAGAATACCGTTTTGCTGTCTTAGCAGTATGTTTTGGTTTATCTAGTGGAAAACATCATGCATAATATTTAAAATGCCCCCAGTATTTTACTTTACTGTATTTTTGCTTTTTCTACATTCATTTTCTGATATCTTCTTTGTTTTAGGAATGTTAACAATCACAGACTTCATCAATATACTGCACCGGTACTACAAATCTCCAATGGTAAGTTTGTGTGGTTTGATCATTGAGGATATTGCTGATTATTAAAAAAACAAGTAATGTGCTGCGATATCGAAGGTAAATCACCATTCTGTAGTTGGGACATTATGGCTTATCAATACACGTTTTAAAGAAACTGGTTTAGAATTTGGTGTGGAAAACGTTATTGTGCAGTTTTTGTTTCATTTGGTATAATTTAAAAGCTTCCTTAAAGTTCTGTCTAATTTTAACTTCTGAATGCTTTAGATAAGCCATTCTAATTAAAGTTCAATTATGTTGTTTTTTGGGGGGAAATAAACCCAAATTATAGCTTGACATTATAATTTGTGCTGTATAAATGGCACTGCATTGGACAAAACAGGTCTGACTAGATGATGTTTATTGGCCTTTGCTGTATTTAATTTTGTTTTGTGCAGCTCTTCTTCCACTTGATATAGCTTTGACTGTGGCCAGTGACATTGAGGCACGAGGTTTGACTTCCTGTTACTGTCCATTGGCAGTTTATCAATTGAGTCTTTGCACAAAAGTACAAAGCCTGTTTCTTAGAGTTTTACTGTGACCTGCAAGTTGGGTGAGCATAGAGTTTGGCTACAGTTAGTTTGAGAACTGTCCAGGTGCTGAATCAGCACCTCACTCTTATTGGATTGCCTGTTGAAGAGTGCATCACCTGAGTAATGTGTGTTAGAACTGGGAAGGATAATTGAACACACACAAGGCTGCTCAGTTCAATTTTGGTCCCTCTAATTCTGGCTTGGCTACAGTATGTTCAAGCTTTTGCTGCCTGTCTCCACCCCATCACTGTATTACGTGTCGTCATGTTTTATGAGTTAAAAAGCGCTTTAAATATTTCATTGTTGCTATCTCCAGTAATAAAGATGAGTCCTTTTGTATCAGCTGTACTTGGGCGGCCACTGAAAATTCTTCCCACGTGTGCCTTGAAAAGTTTCTCCATTCTGTTTATGACTCGCCGTTTTTGCTTGGCTTATTGTAAGAAAGTGTAAGGTTCAAGTTCTTTTTTTGACGCTTTTGTTGTTCAAGGATACATTTAACTTTTTTCCTTGTTCAGTGCATGCAGATTCACTTCAGCTCAGTTTAGGAATGTGAGGTGTGCTTTATGGGCAAGCCTGAAAATGGTTAATCTTAGTTATTTTTAAGATCAAATTGTGTGTGTTGCTCAAATCCTTTTCCAGATTGCTTCACAGATGGGACAGTTCTGAAGCTCTCAGTTTACATATCGCCACTTATCATCCCACAAACAGTGCCAAAAAAACCCTCAACAGTGTGGCACATAACAGAAGCTAGACCTCTAAAATACATTTTTCTCCCTTCTTTCCTCCTCCAAATTATCCAAAACCTCAGCAACTTATAACTGTGTCCCTTTGTTCTTTATCTGGCAAATTGTTTTTTTCAGCACTTGTGTGGACCTCCAGTCTTTCTGGGATTAAATATTACTTACTGTACTTTCTCTCATTAACATTCCTTAGTCTTGTTTGGACAGCAGCTTCTATGCTGTTTTTCTCCTTTCCCCAGCCTGTTACTCTGTTCAGTCACGTTGTATGCACCATTTTATCTGTTAGATAGAAAGGCCAAGAAATTTGCCTCTGTAAGTTAATAAAAATCAATACCCTTATTTCAAAAATAGATGTCTAACGTAGTTCATAGTGTCTTCACTTAGGTCTGTGACTGTAAATTTATTTTGAGGTATGAAGGTCTAATTTGCAAAATTAGATTCCATGCCAGTGAGAATTACCATGGCAAGCTGAAAATAGCTGGAAATCCTCTACATTTATGCACAGTTCATAACTGTGAAACCGTTGTTCCTTAGAAATGTATTTGTTCTAAAGGAGGCTCCATTTTCAGCAATCCATTTTATAAATCAGAATTGAAGACTGATGTCTGCTTTTCCTGAACCTCCTTTCTTATAACCACTGTCATATTTGTGTTTGTGATTAGTATTGATTTTTTCCTGAAACAGTATACTGTACAGTATGTACTGTATACCATTTATCTTAAGTGCTTGGAGCTTTAATGCAGTCATTATTAAAACTCTTTAGCTGTGACATAATAGTCCTATTGTATTGTTTTTAACTGGGTGATCTCTTTTGTGGTTACGTAATAGTCTTCAAGTCTTTTCCTGTACAGTATGTTTCACTTTGTTCCATTCGTATGTAACTTGTGATAGTGTTCACCTAGAGTAGGTGCTTTGTTGAAATAAAAATAAATATTGAGACATATGCAAGGAATAAAATAGATATCTGGTTTTTGCTGTGTAAGCTGAAATGTCCAAAATATTTCTGCTTAAAATGAAAACAGAGCACAGTATGTGTTTGTTAGCCACTCTGAGCAAAAAAGCTGTTTCTGCATGTTGGGAGCTTTTGAAAAGAGATCTGAATGGAAGCTGGCCTCAGAAGCTCATCCAGCAAGAGGCACAGTAACCTTTTTCTAGAAATCTTTAATTAGCTGCAGGCACCCCCTTCCTTGACTGTAATGAAATTAGATTTAATTTATAGAAGACTATTCCTGAAATAGGAGCTGATTGTGTTGGAGGCCTGGCATACAGTACTAACACTGGTGACAACTATGACTTGTCATAATCTGCTTCCATAGGTCCGCAGGTGACATGACAGATGATGAGAGATTTAAAGTGCCTTCATCACTGTCACCAGAAAAGGCTCTTTCTCTTCCTCAGAATAGGTTTATCTGGGCAGACCTTACAATCCATGAATGCATGTGTCTTGCGTGCACCATTAAGAGGTGCTGTTACGCTTCATAAAGCCAACAAAGAATACAGAGTACAGAAGGGGTGAAAAATAATGGCCAAAATAAAGAGGCAAAAGCTGTTGCAGAATGAGTCTAACTTGGATAAACTGGTGTGAATCTTAGAAGAGCCTGACTGTTTTTCATCAAGAGAAAACATGACTGGGCTCTTGTCTGTCTGGTTTCAGGTACAAATCTATGAGCTGGAAGAACACAAGATTGAAACATGGAGAGGTAAGAACGTCTCATGTTGTCTTGGCAGTAGTGTTTTATGTCTTAATAAGAATGCTTTTATATTTTTCCTCTTGACTGGCACTTGGTACCGTTGTTTTTTTCTGTTATATTGCGAACAACTTTGTCTCAAACTACAGATTTTTTATTTTTTAAAATTGATAAAATATTTGCTTTTCAACTCTGTTACAATAGTCTTGTATTTATAGTGTTATGATGTGCTACCCCATGAGTACGATTATCAATATTCTTCACTCCTTTGTGAAGAATGGTATGAACAGGAAAATGAAAGAAATAAAACGTTAACAGCAGTAAGTAGTTTTACAGAAATGTACTAAAGGTATCAAAATTAATTAAGAGTCTGTCAATATAGTTTTTTATATACTGCAACGGTTAAATTAACCTTATACTGTACATAGCACTGCTGAATTACTTATCAATGTGTACAATGATCAAATGATTAAATGGTTAATGAATTGCACAAATTAAGTGAAAGCTACCATACAACTGTCCTTCGTAATACATCTGATATTTTAGCCAAATTAGGTGGGTGTGTGATGTACAGAAACACTTGGACCGAAATCCTTTGCCACAAGCACAATTTTAAATTGGATACTGAAAGATCACAAAGGATCTGACCCAAAACCAGACACAGTCATGAATGTGTGCTGTATACAGTATGACTTTGTCACTTCTTTCTTTTTCAAACTATTTTAATTTTCTCTCCTTAGAACTCTATCTCCAAGAAACATTTAAGCCTTTAGTAAACATATCACCCGATGCGAGGTAAGTTACTCTAGTTAAGTTCAAGTTCAATATTTTATGATCATGAGAACTAGTTGCGTTGAATTTGAATTTGGTTTGGTGAGCTCTTTTACAATTTTACAACTCTTTTACAATTTGGAAGACATGCAACATAAAGCCATAATTAACGGCATCCAACCCGAACATCTTTACATTATCATCCTAAACACACACCAGTTATGAGATAACACTGAGCCCTGCAGAACGTGCAAAATCAAAGTGCTGAGTTAGTGTCTCATTAGTTAACTTAGTGAGAGTGGAAGATGCACCTCTTCATCTACAGATGGTTTCTGTAATTAAAGATTTACTGTTTCACAAGAAACAGTACCTTGACCAAAGCATTGCAGAAAAGACATGAAAATAAGTTTCCAATGGTTGAAAATTTGAGAAAATAAGTGTTGTCTGCATATTTACATTAATAACAATTGCTAAGTGATTTTTCATTTTTAATTATTAATATCTTCTTCTCAAATTTGTAGTTTTAATAATTATTTCCAGATATATTCAGCAATAAACTATGCTTAAAGATCTGTATTTTTCTTCATTATTTCACGTGTTTTGTCATGGCATTATTTTGTTGGGGTACCTTTTAAAGTTATATAATAAACATTTTACTTGGTATATTGTACAGTCTTCCAAATGTTTTTCTGCCAGACAAGGGACGTTTTTAAATCTGCTTCAGTTTTCTGTCTCTGATCCTTTGTAATGTATCAGAACGTGATAGATTGTGGTTTTAGCAGTTTTTTGCCTTATATTTAGGTCTCTCTCCAGACATTCTGTCTCTCCAAAGTCATTTATAAATTTCTCCTCCCGAGAGAATATTTTTTGCGAGGAACTTGCAATTTTTTTTAATTGAAGTCAAGCTTGCGTATTGCCCGCGGTCTTTAAGGACTTTGTCATCTAAAGTTAGCAAAAAGTAAAACATTTTTTGTTTTCCTTGTCTCAGTTAATATAAGGAACCCGTTTTCAAATGAATACGGCTTTGGTTTTTAAAAAAAATAATAAACTCCAGGTGTAAAGAATCACTGCAGTCTTCTGTCTTGTGGAAGTACAGATTTGAGTCCCCCATGGTGATTGAAGTAATATCTGCTGCAATCCTTGCTTGAAAATGCTGAAGGATGAAAACGATATTGATCCCAGAGTGACCTCATGGACTGGACTCTTCTAAATCATGCAGTTACCTTTGCTAGGTCCCATTCTACATGAAGCATTAATCCTAATGCAGGCAGTAATTATTGTGTACTGTGCATGGGCTTCATTAATTCTGATATTAGATGGGAAAGGAAAAGGCTGGTTTTACAGCTGGACCTTGAGCAGGTCTCCCCCTCCAGTCCAGATAGTGTTGGTGAAGAAAATAATTGTTACAGCCAAACACTAAAGCATCTCTTAACTGGAACCAAAAATGTCTGTGTAGAGATCACGAAGTACAGTAAAAATTCTGTTTACTTACTGATTTTTTTTCCCCCTCGTTTGCAGCCTATTTGATGCGGTATATTCACTGATCAAAAACAAAATCCATCGGTTACCCGTCATCGACCCCGTCAGCGGGAATGCACTTTATATCCTCACTCACAAGAGGATCCTCAAGTTCTTGCAACTTTTTGTAAGTGACAAATTTTAATCCTTATTAGTGCACAGAAAAGAGAAATCGAAGTGTTGCGTGTGTATCTGTCGATGCAGCTGTGAAAGTTCACATGGCACATTGGCACGTAGTTCCTTTGCAGGTGGATGTGACCAACTCCGATGCAACAAGAGTGTAAGAGACTTGAATTTCTTGAAATAAACCTGACTGCATGCCAGCATTATACAGCATGTAGTATTGCTTTCTTAAATGGTGGATGCTGCGCATTGGTGGTGGTGGAGGGGAGTCCCCATTACCTGTAAAGCGCTTTGAGTGGAGTGTCCAGAAAAGTGCTAGCAATTATGATGAATTATTATTAAATGTATTTCATAATCAGTTGGGTAAAATTACTCTCCATCTACATCTATTTTACATGTTGATCAAAATTGGCAACACTTTGCAAACCTCAGTTTCTTTGCACTTCCTGCTGCAGTTTGTGAGAGGTAATTGGACCAACTTTTAATCACCCGTCAAGGTAAATGAGGAATGACCGCTTCTTCTGCTGCTTGCCTTTGTTAGGATTGGAAACTCATTTGCGAGAGCAGTGTACACTTGTGCCTGCCTTATGCTTGAATTTGCATGCAGCAGTACACTGTCACACTATATAGCAAATTTAGTGATAGAAAAGAGATCAACGAGATTTTTTTTCTTGAAGCAGAAGAAAAGATAAGAGATTGAGCTTACAGCAGCTCCTTCGTGGTAGTCCTATATTGGAAGAACTGCTAATTAAGAAATGTTTAAGAGAGTTTAAAAAAATGATTTTTTTTAGTCCTACATTTTTAAAATGATAGGTTTATAAGACTTGTAGTCTGAAAAATTAGTATGGTGGTCTCATACTCTTCTCCCCTATCTTTATTTTATTGCCAGTGCACCCAATAAACCTTGTTTATTGTGAATGCTGTGCAATCAGCTGTCAGGAATTCAGAAAGCTGTTTTATGTTTCCCTTGAGACGTCTGTGGATGCTGTGCTGTCATCTAGGAACTCCTTTCAAAAACTACAGCTACAGTACAACTACAAAAACTACAGTAGATGAGAAAGGAAAGAATACCCTTCCTTAGATATTCAAGCAGTTGTATAACTTCACACATGCACGGTTAGTCTTCATAGTATCAAGAGTATTGTTAGATTCCAGTGTGTGTCCTTTTGCCCTCCCCCAAGTACAGCCACACCGAACCATTCAGTGGACTGGGGCTTTTACTGTTTGACAGGGCATCTCTCTGGCTGCCATTTTGCTGGGCATCGTCTGTTCTTAAGCTTTTCAGTCAGAATTCCATTTCCCTTATTTGCTAACCTGACACATTGGTACAGTAAGTGTGATTTTCAGACTTGTTCTCTGTACTGCCTCTGTGTGGAGAAGAGCTGTAATTGAATTTAAAAAAAATACGGCAGACCTTTTCGGAATTCTGAAGTTGGAAACCTTATCGCATTTCCTGCCTGTAATGCAGACACGCCAGGGTTCAGGGTAGAGCCCTGAGGATTTAAGTGCTTTATGACGTCATATTCCGAGGAAAACCTAACTGCATGCAGTCAATCTTGTGTGAATTCCCCTCTTATTTGTTGAGTGACTGAAGTACTCTGGAAACGTGGATGTGCTGTAGGGTTCTCCTCAGCCGAGACCTGTGTTCTCCATCTGATTGCGCTTTTACTACATTTTCCGTGGGTGTTTGTTACCACGGAAGCCAGTGTAAAGGAGGAGTTAACGGCCTCTCCATTAAAGAGGGAGAGTGGGGCTTGACAGGCTGAACTGTCTGAGGACACTGAAAGCGGATTTGTGTAATCTATCTCCGGGCTCTCCACTTTCTCCATCCACTCCCCCCCTTCCCTGCCAGTGATCTGTACAAGCCCTCCCCAGCATGGGATTAACAAGCTGCTGAGGCCACTGCAATTGCAGCCGCCGTCAGATAAGCATCACTGCAGTGCTTGCCAGTACAACCTAATGAAGTCATTAAGACGTTATCGTTATCTGGTACAAATATTGTGGAGCACTTTGCCATCCATGGAGCTGCTGTGCTCATTAGAATCTTAGAAGCATTTGCAGCAGAGACACCTTCATAAACTAGGATCCTTGCTACAATGCCTTGCATTTTCTTTTGTTCTTTATTTTCTTATCAGAGTAACATTTGCTGTTGTACTGATCATCATAACACATTGACTTACAAAAAATAAATCTTTATATATATATAAAGTGGTTTTAGAGGATGTCATTTATTAGCAATTAGTTTAATATGAGACAGTTGCCCAGATTTCCTTTGCTTTTTTTAGTGGTGAAAGTATTATCTTTTTTTAAATAGGCATACAGATTTGTTTAAGAAGGAGTTTGACAGTATTTATAGTAACATTACATTGTACGTATACGTTGGAGGTACAGTATAGTATGACATCGGTAGCTGGGGTCTATTTCAGCTTTTCCTTCAGCTGAGTTCTTAGTAATTAGAATAAATACAGTAGCCCAATTAACTGGATTAATTTAATCCTTTCCTACACAAAGTATACTTTCAAAGAAGTTCTTTATAAACCATGTCTTGAATTAACAGCATCCTTTTTCTGAAAAGGAAAAACCATCTAAAAACCACTTTTTAAAGAAAATTAGCAATTGAGAGACAACTGCAGGCCTCCTGGAATAGCGTTTGATACCTCTGAGTTAGAATGATGTTGTTGTGAAACTGCAGCTCGTTCTGTCATCTTTTGATAGCGTCATTTAACTCTGCTCATCTATTGTATGTTGCAGAGCAGCCCAGTCATGCTTCTGCTGCACTTATCCCTTGTGGATTTTTAGTGCTGTGAACAACACTTGGCAAAACCTTATCCACCTTATACAATACCCATTATATTGATGGGACACCTGGTAAAATCTAACTTTTTATAATCCATAGAGAATGCATAATTTCATTATTATATAACGTTTAGTAGCATTAATTTAAAATCAAGAGGATTGCTGTAGACTACAAAAATTAATTTGAAGTATTGATTTAGAGCAGCTGTATATTACTCCAGCTATAATTCTTTTGCCATTTAAGCAGTTAGTTTTGTGTAATGTAGTTAAAATAGCTTGCTCCATTGCCTGTAATTGGACGTCCAGTGTGCTCTACTCAAAGACTGCCACAGGGACTGGGAGGGGAGCCAGTATCTGCTTGGACACGGGACACAAGGGTCCCAGACACTGCTCGGCTGACTCCCCACCAGCCGGCCTGTCGCCTTTCCACTCCAAATTGCTTCCTTTTTCCCCTACCAGGAATTCAAGTGGTAGAGCAGTTTGTCTTGTCTCGTATGGAGTTTCTGCTCCATATTGTTGAGAACAGCCTACCTAGTGCACAACGTTGAATGTTACAAAAAGCAGTCGAACTTTAAAAAATACAAGAGGAGGCTTTCGGTATTAGTAATGAATGGATTCAGAGGCAGTTACCTCATTAGTAGCAAGATTATCGCCTTGCTGCCTGATCTGAATGGATTGGAAGCTCATCAAGGTTCTGATTGGTTCTTGGACAGGACACCTCCCAAAAAAAAAACATGTTGCTGTTGTTGTAAGAGACGTTGGTGGACAGTTGATCATCACTCTTTCCTCTGGGCCAGAGTTTCCATACCAACCCCCCAGAATAGTGACGGGACATTATGCTGTAAGATGTTTTGCCCTTTGAATGAAAGGTTTTAACCTGTTGACAGGTTCTTAAACTGGTCATTAAAGGTTCTGTGACACCATTGTTGAAAGTAACGGGTGTTAACCCCAATGTCATGGCTGAATTCCACTCTCTCACCTGCCTTAAGTTCCCCCATAATTTATTTTGTGAGGTAGTTTCTCACTTCTGTCTGCCCCTCATCCCCTGTGTAGTGAGGCTTCTGGCGCAGAATGACTGCCGCCCATCACCAGGGGGGTGGTGACTGAAGTAGTCACATCCTGAAGGTGAAGCTCTTTGAGATTCTTTCCACTCTAACAAGGCAACAAGTCATATACGGTCATTACATTTCTGTGACTTCTATGTGCTTCCAAAACCCAAATGTGCTTATCAATATGAAAATGGAAAGCAAACCATTTCCGGTCATTTGAACTTGCACGACAGCTAGCCCATATTGTATCCTATTTTAACAGGCAAGAGGTACTGTACGCTGGTTCATATTTTCAGATAGCTGCTGCATATTGCATAGAGTTCTGTTCCACTTTTTATCACTAGACTTTGTTTTTTCCTCTACCTTGTTGTTCGCCCAGGTATCTGAAATGCCAAAGCCAGCCTTCATGAAGCAGACCCTTGAAGAGCTGGGGATTGGAACCTACAACAATATTGCCTTCATTCACCCAGACACTCCGATCATTAAAGCACTGAATATATTTGTTGACAGGAGAGTGTCTGCGTTACCTGTAGTGGATGAATCTGGTATGTGCGATTCCAGTACTAACGGATTGTTAAATCTGGGTTTCTGACAGTAAACATGCAATGGAAATGATGTAATAACCAGCCCTTTAGAGTTGACTATAATGTGCTATCAGGCAGCACCTAGTGAATTTTGTTTTCTGGATCATCTCCTTTGTCTTTCTGTAGTCAAAGAAGTTCTTGTTTATTTAATTATCTAACTTAATTATATACATGGCAATTGGAACTAGGAGGTTTTTTGCTGCTTAAATGTTATCCCAATAGTTGATGAATGTGGCATCAATGCATGAAAAACTGTAAGAACGTGTAAATTGTTATTCACAATACTATGCCATCAGTGTTATAAATATTTTTTGGTGAATAATGTTAATTAGGGAAGTGCTCCCTTTGTGTAGTCCTAACACACACACAACACATAGAATTAGTGAAATCTACTGAAATACTGGCAGCGCACCCGGTTCTTAATGGCCAGTTTCAAAGTTCAGCAAGTTCCGTTTTTTTAAATTAAAACCAGCTGGCCTTCTTGAACCCAAAACAACTAGACTAGAAGGTCTTTTAATCCACAAACAAAAAAACACGTTTAAGTCTTGGTTCTCTCCGGTTTGCTTTTATGTCTTGAAAGAGCCAGAGCTCAGCTTTGAATAATTTATGACTGTGCAGTAATCCTGAAATGTACGTCACGTGAAGTAGCACTACTGAGACGCATTAGATGACTCTCAGACATTTCTGCCGTGTTCTGAAAAGTGGCTCTTGAGAGCTGTCAGTGTGACTCTGGCTGTAGCTGCTCTCTCCAGCTAATGTTTTTCTTTATCTTTAGATTTCTAAATAAGCCAACATGTCTGCATTAACATTGTTTACCCAAGTAAGGCAGGTTACACAAACAAAACAGGAGGCCGAGACGTCTGTCCTGTTGTTCAGTGATTCCTTCTTCTTGCCTGACGTTTCAGCTAATGCACTATGAAATTACTAGTCCTTTTTGTCTGTGTCATTTTACGAAGACTTTCCAAGCAATGTTTGCTTGACTAATGAACCAGAAGGTGAGAAGATTTGCAGTGTGAATAGGCCCGTCAAGGCTCACTTCAGGCCTGTATAAGAGAACAGTTTCTACGTTAAATAGGACAAAAAAACAATCAAATGGAACAAGAAATCTCCCAGAAAATGAATAGTAGGAAACTTCTAAACCAAGTGAAATATGATTTGAAAAAAAAAGTATTCTGTTAATATGTACTATATATACATGATGGATGTGATTGTTTTAGCACTTCCATTCACATTGAATAGATATTAAAATCCTTATGTTCTTTTTTTTATCTGTTTCAGGAAAGGTTGTAGATATTTATTCCAAATTTGATGTCATAGTAAGTGCTTTTCATTGGTTTTCTTCTTTTTGGTTTCTTCTGTAATGTAGCACTCCGGGATATACTGTGTGTTTTCCACATACAGTATTGCTCCTCAGAAAGCACATCATTCGAAAGCACCGAGGACTAGAACAAATTCTGTCGTTTCTTTTTAATATTTTCTTTTAGAAAAGATCTAGTACGTTTGTGCTGAAACCCACATAAGCAGACAAAACAGAAACAAAGCATTTCCTTACATTCGAGCCCTCAGCCCCTTAAAAAATGAGAGCCTGATGAAGTCTTTTACAAAGAACACTTTCCAGTTTTGAGATACTCTTTGAATAATGTTCTAAAGTGTACACCAAAACAGAAATTTGTGTGGAACTAGGATAACATGAGAGGATCGGCTCATTATTCAATTACTTTGAGTTTTATATATAAGCCCAAGACTAAAGCCTAATGACCAAGACTAATGCTTTTTTTGCTTTCATTCAACTACTGTAGAACCTTGCTGCTGAAAAGACATATAACAACCTAGATATCACCGTGACCCAAGCCCTGCGGCACCGTTCGCAGTATTTTGAAGGCGTTATGAAATGCAACAGGTTAGAAACACTGGAAACCATAGTGGACAGGATAGTCAAAGCTGAGGTAAGTTCACCTTACAAACTACTGCGCACGAAAACGTCACGCCTGCTTTCCTTTATTCAGTTTATTTTTTTCTTGCGGATTTACTGCAGCACCAGGGGAGGGTGACCTGGTCCCTAGGTCATTAAATAAGCTGCTGGACATTTAACAAATATTTCTACACAATACCTAATGTGATGTAATAAACAGTATTCTGTGCCTATATTAAAGAGAATGGGTGCTCATATGTCCTTTTGTAGACGTTTACCCTTGTAGAACAAAATGAGTGACTTTTTTTTTAAATGCTAAAAATTGTGCAGTTTACTGTGTGAGGAAATATCAGTTTCTTTGTACAGTATATACATGGGACAGCCTTACTGTAATATTTCCTCTCTGGTTGTGGTTAAGGTCATCAAATATATCTTTATTTGCTAACCTGACATACTGTAACTTGATAAATTGTCAAGGGTGATTCAGACTGGGAGAAGTGCAGCTCGTGTTGTTAAGAAATAATTTCCTTGACGTTCTGATGCCTGTTTTACTCTGTTCTCTCTGTAGGTCCATCGGTTAGTGGTGGTTGACGAGAATGCCAGTATTGTGGGCATCGTCTCCCTGTCGGACATTTTGCAGGCCCTGGTGCTCACACCAGCAGGTATAGACGCACAACATTCCTAACTCCCTGGAAACTGACCTCTCACCCCTTCCCACAAGCCCTCAGGTAGGGTGCAGCACAGCACGTTGGACCTGGTGAGCTTGCTGCACTGCTGGTGACTGAGAGCACGACGCCGGGCTGGCCAGAGCGCTGTGCCGTGATTGACTTGTTTTTCACAGGAATGGTTTGCCACTAAAACGTTCTCATCAAAGGGAGAGGGGGGGAAAAAACCGTAGTCATAGCAGGATATGCTGGTGTGAGGAAATATCAGTTTCTTTTCAGGATGGAATTCGAATAGGACCGTGAGAGCACAACCTTGCGCGTTTTTTAGATAAATGTGCCGAAACTGCTTGTTAGGATATGCTGCTCTCAGTTTCACAGAGATCCAGCAGCTCTTCTGAGGTCACTTGGCTCCACATTCAGTAATGTACAAAGACACAAATGTTGTCCTCCCTTTCCATCAGTTGCAGAATGAGGCTTTGAAGCCTCTACATTAGGCACTCCTCCAGCAGCTGTGGAGGTATTACGTGGATGTGGATCTTGATGCAGTCTGTTAGTGCTGAGCCCTGCTCTTCCTTTCTCTCAGTTCTTTGTGCACCGCTGCCCTCTTGAAGTTATTCACTGCCAGTTCCTTTGTTATATAGTAGGTCACCCCCTTGTATCTCAGTTGCAGGAAGCATGCTGTTTGTGCTTGTGTGCAAGAGAAATTAACCGTGAATGACTAAAGCAACTGTCCAGAACCTAATCTTCATTCTGTGTTTTAATACATTGTAATATACATATAAGGAGGTTTATTTTTGTCCTCCACCACAAAAATTATACTGCATAATGTAGGGTGTTATGCTTCTCTATATAGCTGGAAATACAGTATATGAGAATCATAAAGTTCCACTAAAAAGGCTTAACGTCCTCTTGTAGTTATATTACGAAGGTAGGAGATAAACACACAAAGAGTAAAGAAGTATTTACCATTTACAGACAATAGAAAACGCTAAGCACAGAGAGACGCAAGAGAAACTGCCCTTTTATGCTACTGTTGATTTTGAATCTGAAAAGAACCACTGCAAGGCTTAACGACTGCCATGACAGACAGAAAGTAGCAAATGAGCACAGCCTCTTTTTTTGTTAAGGAAAAGCTCCTTTTCACAAGCACTGCCCAGTGCTGGAGTTCAAATGAAGAAAGCTACCTTTCTTAGCTACCTGCTTTATGGACATCAGCGGTGCTGAAATGATAGCATGGCAAATGCACATTTGTATTTGCTCGTGTAGCATCGCATTTTCATCTCACAAGAAAGCTGACATTGAGGATGTGGGTGCCCTTGACTTGTGCCCCACTGACCACTCTCTTGTGCTCCACTGGTCATTCTCACTGACCATGTTACCCCGCTGTGAGCTGTGAGCTGTGAGCTGTGAGCTGTGAGCTGTGAGC